TATTCCTTGCTTGATGGCCAAAGAGATTTTCGCCGTCCCAGCATCTACAGTTGCGGTCGAACAAGCCTTCAGCGAGGGAGGTTATATGCTCGACGCACGACGATCGAGGCTGACGCCCGAAAATCTACAAGCACAAATGCTGCTGATGGATTGAAAAAAGGCCGAACGAAGGATGCAAACGGCTATGTACGTAGATGAAGAAGCAGACGATGACGATGACGCATCCGATTTTACGAGTATGACGAGTGGTGGAACCGAAATAGGAGATGACGAGTATGACTATTAGAGACAACCACTCGTGTACAGGTAAGTAAATCGAAAGAACTACGTGGACTTTGATTCCCAATATAAGGGATATGTAAGCAACTTAATTGACATTTATAAGTTAAAATATCATTTTTTTCCAAAACAAAAAAAAGTTCAAGTTATATGATATTTTAACTTAATAAATGTTAATTAAGCTCAAGTCCAATTTTTTTTTTCTTTTATATCAACTTTAAAATATCTAAACGTAACAAGAATTAATTTGCCTCTAGAAAACATTGTTCAGAAATTCAGGCAATAATATCAATTATTCCAATAATGCCCCGCCCACAATCTCCATTGTTGTATTGTAGATGTATTAGAGAGTGTGACGCAGGTTCCACAATGGAGATTGTGTGCGTGACATTATTGGCGTAATTGATGTTATTGCTTTGATCATTATTTGGTCAATTTTTGGAATTTCTTGAGCTGTAAGTAAATTAAAAAAAAAAAATACTTGGACTTTTTTACAAGTCAAAATATCAATTAAAATAAGTTAAATTACATCAATAGAAGGATGTTCTATAATGAAGACAATCGCAGTATCTTAACTTAACAAGAATTAATTTGCCTCTAGAAAACATTGTTCAGAAATTCAGGCAATAATATCAGTTATTCCAATAATGCCCCGCCCACAATCTCCATTGTTGTATTGTAGACGTATTAGAGAGTGCGACGCAGGTTCCACGATGGAGATTGTGTGCGTGGCATTATTGGCGTAATTGATGTTATTGCTTTGATCATTATTTGGTCAATTTTTGGAATTTCTTGAGCTGTAAGTAAATTAAAAAAAAAAATGCTTGGACTTTTTTACAAGTCAAAATATCAATTAAAATAAGTTAATTTACATCAATAGAAGGATGTTCTATAACGGAGACAATCGCAGTTGGCGTCGTTTACAGGGTTCTTAACGTTTAACAATCTTCCAACACTGCAAGGAAGCTGCAGTCTTTTTCACACACCACTAAAAATATTGGATTATTGTATCAATAATTATTGTATCAAATTATTGATACAATAATCCAATATTTTTAGTGTGTGTGGAAAAGACTGTAGCTTTCTTGTAGTGTTAGATGATTGTTGAACATTTAAGAACCCCGTCACCGATGTCAACAGCAATTGTTTCCGTTATAAAACATCTTTCACAAATTTAAACAATAACATCAATTACATCGATTATGCCACGTCCACATTCTCCCATTGTGGATCCTGCTTCTCACTCTCGCATACGTCTACAATATAGCAGTTAGAGTTCTATGACACAGGCCGACATACAAATTCTTCAATACTTGAAGTTTGTTGAAGTTTTTTTGTGTATACTATCTCTATATTGTTGTATTGTAGGCGTATGAGAGAGTCAGAAACAGCATCCACCATGAGAGAATGTGTGCGTGGCATAATCGGTTTAATTGATGTTATTGCTTTTAACTCTAATTGGTAAACTTTTCGAATTTCTTAGAACTGAAATCCACAATGAATCACAACCTTAAAAAACGAATGCCTAATATTGAAACTTACAAGAACTACGTGGACTTTGATTCCCAATATAAGGGGTACGTAGGCACCTTAATTGACATATGATATACTATACTTATTAAATGTCAATTAAGCTCAAGTCCATTTTTTTATCAACTTTAAATACATATGTTAATTCAACAATATCTTGAGTTTCCGTTATAAAACATCTTTCTCAAATACATATGTTAATTCAACAGTATCTTGAGTTTCATCAACGTCATCATGCAATCCGACTCCAATACACAGTCTGGAGTAATATATCCGTTCTTTTTGTTAATATCCTCAAGCATGTTACTTAATAGATGTTGTCCAAGTTATCATCTTTGGTGTGCAAGATGTTGATACTATTATCCCACAGTCCCATACGGGTACATACCTTTTCACGCATAACTGGTACCGTTGGATAATGATAAAAAACTAATGTCAAATGTTGATGACTCAACTGCAAGTTTACCATAACATTATTTTGCATCTCTTTTTTCGACATTGAGTACGTATTCAAAAGATAACTAAGTCTGTATAAGCGTTCTGTTGTTTGTGTTATAATAGGCGTAATCTAGCATTGACAGCATAATATGTAATGGAGAATATTGACCTGATATCATTGTCCTAAATGAAGTTAATGTTTTGAGTTCATCTTCTAAAGTTCAAATATTAACTCAAAAACATTAACAACAAAAGGGAATTGTGATGTCACGTCAATTATTTTTTTTATGTATTATGCTTTCAATTCTAAATTTCGCCTGCTATAGCACAAACAATAGAACGTTTATACATACTTAGTTATCTTTTGAATACGTACTCAATGTCAAGAAAAGGGTTGCAGAATAATGTTATGGTAAACTTGCAGTTGAGTCATCAACATTTGACATTAGTTTTATATCATTATCCAACGGTACCAGTTATGCGTGAAAAGGTATGTACCCGTATGGGACTGTGGGATAATAGTATCAACATCTTGCACACCAAAGATGATAACTTGGACAAAATCTATTAAGTAACATGCTTGAGGATACTAACAAAAAGAACGGAAATATTACTCCAGACTGTGTATTGGAGTCGGATTGCATGATGACGTTGATGAACCTCTAAGATATTGTTTAACTAACATAGTAAAATTGAATTTCGCAAGTCCTACAAAATAACACTATACCGGCGGAACCGCCGATCAATAAAAAACGGTAATACATCTCAACATATTTTTTATTTACCAAAAAAAAAAAAAAAAANGGGTCCGGGCTCAGAACCGGTCCCGGACCGCCCTCTTTTCCGGTCCTGGACCGGGCCTCGTCCAAGCGGGCCGTCGACCCGCCGGGCCAGGCCCGGACCCGTTGAATGGCCACGTCTATGCACGTACCCAAATTACAGTAATTATGATAATCAATAAATTATGATAATCGATTGAATAATATTAGTTGGTTAAATGTCGAATTTAGTTTTTTTTAAATAAAATAAATAAACAAACATGCCGAAATATATGAAAAATATTACCGATATTTTTTTATTTATATTTTTTTATGAGAACTAATATTTTTTTATCTGTAATTTTTTATGTATTATGAGTGTACATTAGGGTTATGCGGATTGCACATAAATGTCTATCGGATTGTACAAAATCGAACAAGATACAACAAACATAAATTCGGTACGAAATTTTATGTTTTGGTTCGATTATTATTATTATTATTTTATATATCAAGTATTTCTGTATGATGTCATTTTTTTATTTAAATACTGAAACAAAAAATAAATTATATTAAAAATATTGTATTTTTTGGAAGCATAGCGACCAAAATTGACCTGACTAAATCGAAATTTTATATTATGAACAATTATCTATTTTTAATTTCAATTTTAAAATACTTACTACAATATTGTAAATATACATAATAATTTAATTTAGTTATTTCAGTTAAATCGAAAAATTGACTGAGTAAAACGACAATTTGTGTTCGATGTTGATTTGGTTTGCGATAAAAATACTATCGTTCGATTAAAGTATGCTACACTGCACTTTTACGATCAAAGTCGTTGACAATATTTTTATATTCATAAAATTATTAATAATTTAGTATAAATATTTATCCACTAATATATTTACGATATAATTAAAGATTTAAAAAAATGCAAAATAGTCCCTAACATTAACCTAATTTCCATAAACTAACCCCTAATCAATTCACACCAAAAAAACCCAACACAATTTCCAACCAAATCACCCAACAATTCACACCCAATCAGAAAAATTTGAATTTTCGGCCAAATCACTAGCAATTCACACCGATAATAATTGACAATATACTTAATTTTCTCAATTTGCAAACAAGCCTCTATAAGATATCTAATTTCCAAATGCCATGCCTCCAATCTCAAACATACGCAGGCCACAACAACATTACCATTCACCACCTACACGCAGGTCAAACAGTCTGCCGATAACCGTTGGAAACGTGTCGATGACCATCAATCGGTCCCAGACGGATTGAGATCAAACACAAACCTCAAATCGATTTATTGAAATATGAAATTAGGCGTTTACAATTGGTGCACAATCTAGGTATTTACAATTCGGGGAGAGACGAGTGGTGGAGGAATAAAACTATACGTGATGGCTACTGCAATGGAGAAGTCCGACGACGACAGACTGAGGCGGAGGAATAGTCGGAAAAAGCTTGTTCGAAGGTGGCGCTGAGTTCAATGGTGGAGGTCGTGATGACGAGGAGGGACTGACGTCGGCGTGGACTGAAGTTGTTCTGCTACAGTGGGGCGCCGTCGTGAGGTTGGGCGAGACGGTGCAGGAGGGAGAGATTTGAGAGCCAGAGAGATATAGAGATGGAGAGAGAGAGGAACGGTGAGAGAGAGATAAATTTGACCAATATTTAATATTTGTGTGTGGGGCCCATTTTCATGTGTGGTAAATGTGTAATGTCTATGTTGCCCTTAATTATTGGTCAAATGTGTACATTTGACCCCAATGTATGTTAATTTACCATATTACCATTAATGATTGACTAATTTTTGACTTGATCACAACCATTGATAGGATATATCCAGTGGCACAGATTCATTCTCATTTCTTTCATTATCTACCATTCTCATATGATGCTTCTCTATAAATATAAATATATATATAAATTTTTAATTTATAAATACTAGTGAATTATTCTTACCCCGCACGGGATTCATCCAATAGAAAAACACAACACATCACATTTGTTGTCAAAGTAAAACTCTCCAATCCAAGAACCACAACGTTTTTATGTGAGCAAGTGGTGTACAAAGAGACAGAGATACAACGAAGGGAGGAAAGGGCCAGATGAAGAAGCCCTAAACCAGCGATTCTTGTCGAGCTTTGGGGATTTCTTGCTCCGGATTTGTCCTACATCACATTGCCAAGATCCATTTTTTCTGGGATTTACCGAAGGTTGGTGTTCATCTATTGTTTTTATCGACCCGTATCTCCTGTTTGTGATTAGATGGGCATGCCCAAGTTTGGATGTAATGGCCTAATGGGATTGTTTTCCTTTTGAGTTTGATGTAATCTTGATCTTCATATATGGGGTTTTGAAAAAAAAAAGAGCTTGATTTCGTTAGTAATTAATTGGAGCTTGAAGTTGTCTTTGCTCGTGGTTTGATGGAAAAATTGTTTTCAGCTTGATATAATGGAGATACTCTGAGGGATTACTTTTATTCCCAGAAATTTTAATCTTCGGGCAAGCTGGTAAAACTTTTTTTCAGAAACTGTTACAGGAAAATTTCGAGCTAACTTAGTGAGCGAGTTATGTGTGTGATTATTTGATTCGGAACCATGGGCATGAGTTTTGAAGATTTGGTGGTCGGTGTATTTCTATAGCATCTTTATCTCCTTTAATGACAATCAAAAGGCGTGCTTGCAGCGTAATATTTTCCAAAACTCAAAATATTTGTTTTGCGGCTACTCTGTTTGCCATGAACTGATTTGTTAGCGAATACAGTAAAATGCTAAAAGCTATGAGTTTATTTTTTTAATTTTTTTTCAGTAATGGGCGGTTTTACTAGCACGTGTTTTAGGTGAATGCCGTGTTAGATGCTTGTTTTTATTAGGTGATATACAATGCAATATTGAAAGAGTAGGAGTCGAGCAATCTTGTAGTTTAAGCGTGTTTTTTGTGATCCATTCTTTCTGGTTTTTTATTTTCTTTTTGCTAAAGAATAGAGACGGAAAAGATTTTGATATGGGTAGAAATAAATTGAAATTATTATGGGATATGAGAAGAAAAGGCAATGAGAAGGCTGAAGGTTATTGTACAGAAATAGTACAATAGTTATTTGATATAAATTAGAATTTAGCAGAAGTAGTGGGAAACAATGTGATGGTTATTACTTATTTGATTATCTTTCTTTCCTTTTCTTTTTGGATCTGAGAGTGATTGAGTGAGAAAAAAGTTAAAAAAAATTACTGAATAGTATATATCTAGAAATTTATGAAGCATCTGCATTTTTGCTGAAATTTTATGTGACAGAATGAAAATGAGTTTTTTCACCTCCCCACACCAATCGCACCTGTCCTTTCTTTTTGTACCTTTTGTCTTTTCTTTTCTTTTTTTTTTTTTGCCTTTNAAATTGATACCTTACTTTTGGGTTTAAGTTAAATTAATAACCTGGGGCCAAAAGTAGCTTTAAAATGTACAAAAATAAAAATAAAAGAATAATGACAACTGTTTTGGTTTTGTATATTGGTGGTGGCTTAAGGCTGGCTTGAAATGGCTCAAAGATGTAATGAAGGATGGGCGAAGAAATTACTCTCACCTTTCAATATTACTACATTTACTATGACTTACCTGATGAAATAAGTCACTGAAGTAATCACAAAAGAAAGGATCCTGGTCTTCTGTCATCTCATGGTATTGTACATACTAAATTCGTTAGCGGATCATTCGATTTTTCCTATTTTCAATCAAAAGGCTGTTAACAGAATATTGACAGACCATTTTTTCTTTTTTCTGTGAATCTAATTGGTTTTATGAATCTTACACGTGAAAACAGCTCATCTTATATATATATTTTTTGCTGTATTATTCTATATTCTGTCTTTAATTTTAGAGCAATCAGAGGTCTTTGGTTGTTACATGGTTTGTTTCAGCACCACGTGGGGATTGGTGACCTGTATGCACTTGGTAATTTGTAGGAATCTTTGTTTGGTAAATTTTAAAGTTATACAGAAAATGACAGAACGAGTTAAAGAGATATATGTGTGCTGCATTGTCATTAGATGACATCAGCCATGTATAATTATCATGGACAGAGGCAGCTCGATATAAACGAGGGCAATTGAAAAAAGTGAAACTTTTCAAAAGAAGAAGAAGAGTAGCTGGTAAACAGAGAATTTGTGTGCGTGCTTATGCTTTTACTTTATGATGTTGGTAACCATAATTCTAGTGGGAAAAATTTTTGGTCCTTTGTTTGATTTGCTTGAAAGGTTTTAGACTTAGCGACTGTGAAACTGTGTGCACTTTAAACTTTTTAAATAGTTCTCTGTTGCAAGCTTACTCGCAACTCTTGCACAGAGAAGTCCCTCTTCTGTTTTTTAAAAAAAAAATCTCATTGGTTGGCTCAATCAATTTCACTTGTTGAAACTTGGCTCATCCCCTTTCAGCTGCTTATAGAAAGTACGATAGATCATCATTCTTTACAATGTCAGTCATCTTGTGTGTTGACATATCTATCTGGATTTGAGTGCCTAGGGACATGTAAAAATAGGCATGTGCTGGTATGTTTTAATGGCGACACATAGACAAATTTTTACGGAGATAGTCGAAAACAGTGACTGACTTTCGATCTGGTTTATCTCAATGTTCGCTTTATCATACCTGAATCTTTCTTTCTATGAGCTTGCATCTTCTCGTGTTATCTTCTGCTGATACCTTTAGCTTTTCATTGCTATATCTGAGACAAAAGTCGAATTTGTGGGTATTTTATGTGAGAACTGCTTTATGATATTTTTCCTTGTTAGTATCCCTTTTGTTTCTTGTCTGATTACTTTTTTTTCTTCCATGATGAATAATTTCAAATGCGAAATAAGTTACTAGAAGCTTTTTCTTAAGCCATGGCGAATTCCAAGGGACCATCTAGGATTCGAAGCACATTATACAACAGCGGGAAGAATTCCTTGCTCCCCCCTAAAAGCCCATTTCCCAGCATATCCCCTTCCTACACCGAATACATCCCCACTTCAAAAACCCTTCCAAAGCACAGAGACCAAAATTCACACCACCAGCGTACTTCTTCCGAAAGCTTCTTGATAGACGAGCAGCCTTCTTGGCTCGACGAGCTTCTAGACGAGCCCGAAACCCCCGTCCGAAAAGGAGCCCACCGCCGCTCATCGAGCGACTCGTTCGCGTATATGGACATGTCTAATAATGCAGGAGGCATGAATTATATGGCTCGAGAGGATTCTAACAGGTACAAGAATGTGACGGGGGGAGGAGGCCCACTTTCTCAATGGGGGTCGTCTCAAGACTTTGATATTTACAGGCAGCAGCAGAATAGTTTCTATGTGAATTCAAATCAGTTTGGCAGAACCAGGAATAATAATAAGATGTGGGACCCGCGTGGGCTTCCTTCGCCTAAGGGCAATAGTACACTCATACAGGATGCAGATAAGAAGAATGTATCTCTTCCACCCGAAAAAAAGGACGTGGAGGATCAAAAGGGGCCCGCTGAGAAAAAGGAGGCCATGCATGGGAAGTCATTGGAGACTGACAATAAACGTGCCAAACAGTATGGAAACTTTTTATTTTTGTCTTATATTTTATATTGTTTGGACTTGTTTGATTAGTGGGCGTCGTACTTGCTTGTTTTTTGGTTTATGAGAACATTATGATGCCGATGGTGAAGTTAAAAAATAAAAAAAATGCATAAATATGCTTTTTTGTTTGAATGTCATGGTTGAGGGAATAATATTAACGAGGCTTCCATTCTTTCTGCCTTGTTAATTTACAGCATCCTTTTTGTTTCGATTTCACCTGCTATAAGTTATGAAGAAAGCTATACCATAAGCATCCTTCACCAGCATATTAATGAAAATAGCCTTATTGGCTATTTGATTGGGTATCTTTATGAATCATAGATATATAAGAATCTTTTTACTTATGGAACCTGTGAAAAGTTAGTTATAATCCTCATATGGTCTCATAAGTGTATTTTATACTTGTTGCTTAAATAAGACTTACAGAGGTAGGAAACATTTTAGGAAAACTACCCTATAATCTGTCATAAAAACTTTTGTCAAATATGTGCCTTTGGTAGCTGGAAGCCAGTTATGTTTTACACTTCTTCTATTTGCAGGCAATTTGCTCAGCGTTCACGGGTCCGGAAGCTCCAATACATAGCTGAACTTGAAAGAAATGTGCAAGCCTTACAGGCAAGTATTAAATCCTTCCTTTTGACTAAATCCAGATAGACTGACTTCATGCATTACTCATTGCTTACATAACCATGTTTTGTGTTATTGCAGGCAGAGGGATCTGAAGCTTCTGCTGAACTCGAATTCACCAATCAGCAAAATCTCATTCTGAACATGGAGAACAAAGCCCTGAAGCAACGCCTAGAGAGTTTAGCTCAGGAGCAGCTTATCAAGTATTGTAAGTCAGAATTATCCAATCAGTCCCCGAATGTTCTTATTTTTGCATGCTTCTCGAAATTGTATGTTAACGTGTTTAGTAAATTGTGATTTGAACCCTGTATGGTTTTCTTTTTGCTCATGTATATCCGATTTTGGGCTGGTGATTTTTGTTGTGGTGAGAAATAGAGAAAGGAAAAAGTCAAGCAGTTCGTTTTCCCTTATCTCCTGTTTGGATATGATGAAAATATCCCCGTTTAATTTAATCTAGTTCAAAATTTTACGAGTTAGTCAAGAGGTAAAATATACATGAGATTGTTTGGATCTCAAATTTTGATATTTTTTTTTTTCGTGCAGTGGAGCACGAAGTGCTGGAGAGGGAAGTATCAAGGCTAAGGAACTTATACCAGCAGCATCAACAGCTGCCGCCACATCAGCACCAGACGACTTCCGGTCACAGACGGGCAAATAGCCGAGATCTCGACCAGCAATTTTCCAACCTCTCTCTGAAGAACAAGGAAGCCACTAGTCGTGAATCGGTCTCTGGTCAACCACTTCACATGTAGTGGGATAAATGAGTCGACTCGACTCGCATTTGCATGGCTCGGTTTCCCTTTCCTTTTCGTGTCAAATTATTTTCCTATCTCTCTAGTTTTATCCAAAAGGGACTGTTTGTAATCTGCTTATGCTTAGAGCCTAGGGCCGTTTGCGCCTNAAAAGTAAAAAAAAATGTAGTTGCCTTTGTAAGTTGTGTGATGAATGAATCCTTTGCTTCCCTTTTCATGGGGCTTTTCTCTGTAGGTGGTGTTTTTATTATTTTACTGAGAAATTTGTGATTTTTCATATTTTTTTAGGCATTAATGAGTTTACTTGATGCTTTTGATCTGCTTGGTTTACGATTTTTTCCAGTGAGAAGCTGTTGCTGGTTGATGATAAGTTTTTGGCTTCTTGGTATGGGATGTTACAGTAATTCTATGGAGCCATCGGATGGTTCCCTTATGGAGCCATCCATAACTTTATGTATTGACACGTGTCCAATGTGTATTTATTGCAGGACACGTGTCAATACATCATTTGTTGATAGCTAAGGATGGCTTCATAAGCCGAGCCATCCGATGACTCCATAGCAAAACCGTGGGATGTTAACCCTTCTGGTAAAATTGGGTAAGTTTGAGTGTAAAGGGTCCTAGAAGATTTTTAAGAATAAAAATAAAAATTATCTCGTTTATAAGTGAGTTAAAAATTGGGTAAGTAGCTAGTATTCAGAAAAAAACGAATCAACTCAATGAATATGAAATAAAAATATAATAATTAAAATTAGTGTGATATAGAAATAATATTAGAATATTGTTTGATAGTGATTCGTAGTTAAAAATAAATGGTGGAATGAATAGGAATTTTTATTAAAGATTAGTAAAGTGTACGTGCCATGTATTTGATGCATGATTTGTGTTTTTTTTGCTTATAAATTATGCTTTTTCGTATTTATATACTTTATTCAGTTTTTCATTACTATTTTTAATTAATAATAAAAAGTCTTTTGCATAATAAATTGTAGTAAATATGTTCAAAGTTAGAAACATAATTTTCAAGCAACCATAATATTTAAAAGTCATGATAAGAAGAGTACATGAAAACTTCACTAAAAAATTTGTTTGTCAGTGAATATTTTATGCAATTGCAACCGTTATTTGTCATCATAAATTGGTGGATACATTTTATAATTTTATCTTACATAGTCAACTTAAATATTGTATATCGAAAATTTAACCAAAATAATTATACCGAAAATAATTTAAATATTTGAAGGGAACAAATAGTCTCCCCAATAAATCCACATCAAATTCAAGTTCCACCCTTCATATTTTTCTAACAGTCATCAAATCTTGTTGAGCTGCAAATAGAGATGTTAAACGTGCTAGCCCTAGCGAGCTTCGAGTTAAACGGTCCGGGCCTAAAAAGCCCTGATTTAAACGGGCTACTAATAAAAGGACCTAACCTTCTTTTTTCCGGACTAAACGGGCCGGCCCGTCGGGCCAAAGACCATTTAACATCTCTAGCTGCAAATCATCCAAAAATCACCATAACAACACTGCTAAAAGCAATTTATCATGGTCAATAATATATTAATGCTCCAGGAAACAAACAAACCATTCAAAACAATAACAACAACAGAGTAACACTTTCAAGCCACTAGCAGCAGCAAGAATGACATTAGAAACAGAACCAAAGCTGTTGTTGCCTGTGCGTGAAAATGAGCCGAATTCGGGAGCCTCGGATAATCATCAGGTGACGGCATTACGCAATCTTCTCCATTAAATGATATTTTCCGAGGAAAAGCCCATCCCTGTCTGAAACTGAAAGTCCTCCTATCTTTATTCATCAACATCTCAGACTGCACATTACCATTTTTCCCAAACTGCAGCAGCAAATCGTTGTAGTACTGAATCCCGTAAAATATTCCTGTGTCATCTGAAGAAAAAAATAAAAAAATTAAACAAAAAAATATCTCATTCTATCTTACAACTTACTTACTAGTTACTACCAACCAAAAGAAGCAAAAGAAAAAAAAAAAGAAGGAAAATGTACTTACTTATGTCGCCATAGACGTTGAGAGGCTTATAGTTGAAACTGAAAACTTGTGTCACATTCTTTAGATTCGGGTGCAAGACTACCATATTCCAGTCGCTGTAATTCTTGACGAAATTCAGATTGTTGACCGTGATTTTGACCCGCCAGTACTCTTTGTAACTCTGCTTGATGTGCCAGTGAACTTGAATCGGGCACATATGTTCCGAACACTGCACTAAAGTCTTGGGTGGCTCGTTATGCGACAGCTGCAGGACAGGAGGCATTTCTCCTGGCCTACGATTTTCATAAACATGAATTACGCTTGCTCGATTAAGTAAATGCACACACACAAAAAAAGAAAGAAAGAATAGAACATAAGGACTTATTATACTTGAGACATGATGAATCCGGTTGTCCTTGGCAAGCACAGCTACATCGAGGGCATGGGACGATTGTCGTGTTGTAAAAAGCCGACAACGAAACACAACACCTCGGAGCAACCGAAGCTCGGAATTGCGAGTACGAACACGTCACATTATGCGTCTCTGAACCAAAAATCCAAAAAAATTCATATTATGACGAAAGGTAAATCAAAAAAGCCTATTTAGCGTCGAACCACACAAAAATTCTATGCAGCCATTCATAACTTGATTTACTGACACCTGTCCACAAAGTGTACTTACTACAGGACACGTGTCAATACACCATTTGTGAATAATTGTGGATGGTTCAATAAGTCGTGCCATTTAATGACTCCATAGCAAAAGCCAACCAAGGGTCAAAAAATCCAATCATTTTATCTTGAGACTACAAAAAGACACACACACACACACACACATATATAACCACCGACATATTCAAAAATAAAAAAAGACGATTTAGCCAACTGAACCACACAAAAATTCTATGCAGCCATCCATAACTTGATGTATTGACACATGTACACAAAGTGTATTTATTATATGACACGTGTCAATACACCATTTGTGAATAATTGCGCGTGCTATCTGATGGATCCATAGCTAAACCGAACTCGACCAAGTTTAAAAAATTCCAATCAATTTTTTCTCGAGACTACAAAACATAAATACTATTACCGAGCGCTTGAGTCGTTCGGCGCCCTTGATCCTCACTAAACTTGGTCGGCACGACTCTCAAGGCGGGCCCACAAGTATAGCCCGGGATTCCGAGCGTGAAATTCTCGGGAACTCTGACTGCCTTAGACCCACCGACATGCATCTGAAAGGCGGCCACATGTCTCCTGGGATCCTGCAAAAGGGACGACAGAACGCCAGCTCGGCAGCAGTTGGCGACCTGCTTGTTGTAAGGAGTGCCGGGCAATAGGTCGATTATCACGGGCTCCTTATCACAACAATGTGGGAGTGTCGAGCCCTTGAACCTCGAGCAATTGCCTTGCTCGGTGGTCTCGGCGCCGGTTATGGCCCAGATGACCTCATCGTGGGCCCACGCCCAGCTCAGCCGCCACCCGGGAGGCTCCACGTGGCGGAACAGCTGGTTGTTCACGATTGATAGCCTCACCTACAAAATTAAAAATTTGCTTTGAATAAACAAAAGATTAAAATAATAATAAAATGGAGAGAGAGAGAGAGAGAGTAGATATTTGGTTAATTACGTCTTGTGTGCCATCACCATTGTCTATCAACACGTCCCATCTGATTGTTATGTTCCCATTAGGATCCAACGGATCGTAACCATCTGCATTACAACTGAACCTCAATATCATCAGAATCAAATAAATAACATTTCTTCTAAATGCACCACAAAATGTGTATAATTGAAGACTAAAAATTAAATTTAAATAATTGACGAAGCCAAAAATAAGAATAAACAGTGTGACTTACGGGCTGGTGATGTAAAATAGTTGCTAGTGAGTAGCATCAGTACAACAATCATCAACATCAAGGCATCATCCAGTAATCCCTTCATTTTTCAGGACTTCTTTTGCTTTTTTATTTTCTGAATATTGAAAATATTTATTNCAAATCTTCAATTTGTTGTTTGAAGATTATGCATGTCTACTGTGAATGTGTGAATGTGATTACTGTATAATAGAAATTTGGGCTCAATACACACTTCTTGTGATTGTGCGGATAAACTTTTGTAATTTGTATATTATTAATTAAAATGTGATAAATTAAAATATATAATGATAATTTTAAAATTTTCATTAAAGGAGGCATTAATCGTATTGCCATAAATTAAGGATGGTCCATATGAATGTGTCTTTGCGGAAGTTTTGTACGCATTTGGTGGGATTTTGTTTTGGTTAAAAACTTTTTTCCAAGTTTGAATACATTTTCCCCTTTATTGGGACATTCCCCCTATCATTTACAGCTCTTCTCATTTCCTCATTTACCCATTTTGTTTCACTAATTGATAATATTTACTTTTGGTTGGTTATCAGAATATAGTAAAGTTCCAGCTGTTTTTTACACTAATGGCACGATGTACAAAGTTGTCCATTTAATATATCAAGAATTTAACAAAAAACATATTTTATGAATAGTACGCTTAGGACTGGTATTTTTTTTTAAACCAAAAACTGAAAATCAAACTGAACCGGCAAGAAAATAAACCGAATTGAACCGGCCCTTTTGTGACAGTAATCGATATCGATTACTGAATTGATATGGGCTCGGTATCGATTCCACACTCATAAGGGTTCGATAAAACCAAACTGAACCGATAAAAATTAAAAAAAAAAATAATAGTTTAAGTTTAAAATAATAGGCAATTAAGTTACTTAAATAATCTTAGTTAAATATTAGCTAAATAATTATTTAAATTAGATAAATAAAATAATAAATTAGGCTACAATAATAGATAACTTAGTTAATCAGTCTTATACAAACTTGCATGTCACATTATTAGACCGAACTCAGAGAACAGAAAAAAAAAATAAAAAAAAATTAATAATCAACTCTGCACGGCCTCACACATCCACTAACAAAATTGAAATTAAAGCCTGTTTTTCTTTTTTAACCAATGCTCCATACATGTAAGTACTCAGAGCATCTCCAATGTAGCTTTTGACATTATAAAAATTCATCCATATCATCAACTTTTAAAAGTGTGTTACTAATTTGTTCTCCAATGCATCTTGTCATGAGCTCTTTCATGATGAGGTGGATAGCATTTAATGTTGACAATGTTGAGCACACTTTCTAATACCTAACACCATGTTAAACATGATGACTAATCAATTCACTTTATATTTGATTTAATTTTTTATTGTTCTTGTATTAATGATTATTTTAATTGGTCCACCTATACAAATAACTTCTTACCAAATTGATGCATTGGAGATACTAGTTTGATTCAAATTTCTACTCTTTTAACATTATTCCTACATGGATTAACATTACAATCATTGATTGACATGTGTTAAAAATCATTGTCTTTCAAAGCTATAGCATTGGAGATGCTCTAATAAGAAATGTTTTTGTAACGAACACAATAATTCCACCATTTTTTTTATCTCGCCTCTTCCTTCTTTATTTCTTACCGCAGTGTTAATTTAACCAAAACGGTGAAACCGAAAATATAAATAAAATAAATAAAATTGAAAAAAACAAAAGTTTTATTTTTTCACTTCCTTCCTTATTTATTTCTTACTACTTGTTTTTCTATCGATTTTCGATTTTTTATTGTTAAAAAGCCGAAACCGAACTGTGTTTTTGGTAACTGAAAATCGGTTACCGAATTCTAATCGGTTCGATTTCGGGCTCACATTTTAGTGTTACCGAACATATCGGTTCGGTATTAATTTTTTCTTATCGGTTTGGTTATCGTACCGATACCAGCCCTAGGTACGCCCTCCATTAACTAATGGTTAAACAACCCTATATATTCTTTCAATCCAACAAATATACATATTTTCATACTAAAATGTATACTTTAAAATACATATAATCAAAAGTATGATATTTCATAATATAAATATATCCCCTAGCTATATATAATTTTAGAATGTGCTGAGCCTAAGTGGCAGACTCGTATGATTCGATATCCTATATGGCAGTTTTTCATGCTTTGTCATTTAACTTGGATGAATTTTTGTCTACTTTCAATTCAAAATAACCAGGTCTTGTCAGTGGCCGGCGGGGTGTTGAGAGGCGTGTTGATACGCGGATGGTGAGGGACTCCGGCGTCTCGTCCTCTGTCGAGGTGCAGGAGCAGCAAGACTGGGAGCTTCTTTCCCTCCGGTTATCTGGTGTTGGGAACTCGATGGGCCCGACTTCGGGTGCTGGCTGGTGGTCCTCTCGGTTGAAGGTGGGTTAATTCGGGTTAGTTGGGATCCCGGTTTAGCTTCTGTATAGGCGTTCGACAGCAGTTTCGGAAGTTGAGCCTGGGACTTCGGATCTTACTTGGATTGATTGTTTCTCTACTGGTTTCGATCCGTCTTATTTGCTGGGGGGGTGTTTTAGCGTTTTAATTTGTCTGTTTTGTGTTGTGTTATATTAGGAATTGTGTTTTTGGTTTGGACCGTTGACCCCTGTGAGCCCGAGTGTCAATTTATTATCCTGTTGGGATCAGATACTCGGGCATTACCCTGTTGGTGTCTTTTTAGTTTCGTAGTTTTTATGTTATTGTTTTTGTGTCAATGAGTATTACCCCGTTGGGGTCGGCTCTAGGCGGTCTTTAGATTGTCCTCCCATTTTATTCAGCTGTTGGCTGTTTATATTCAGCTGATGGCTGTACTTTTGTAAATTTGTGTGGTTTATAATAAAATCTTAAAAGTTAGTAAATTTTACATTAACAACTATATATATATATATAATATCAAATTAATCATGTTTGATGAGCTTCAATTTGACCTCTATATTGTACATACAAAATAAATAAATAATTATATTGATCTTTATAATAAAAATTAAATTACCTATTAATATTAATTCAAAAAAAATTATTTAAACTAATTTAACTACTAACTAGTTGTATGATATAAGTTAAACAAAGTATTACAATAAGATGGTAAGTCGTATAAGTGACGTGTTTAATTTTAAATATAAATAATAGTATAATTTTTCAGAAAAAAATAACAATTTGTAAATTAGAACAATTATGTTTATTATTTGTAATTTTAAATATAATTTTTTTGACAAGTATTCGTATAATATACATGTATTTTACTAGTATTTTCTGTAGAAAGGGATGACCGACTAACTATTAGATCACCTAACAACAACATTTGTGTTTATGAATATATCAAAAAGATATTGTAAGAATATTGGTTTGGCATCGTCCACAAACCTAAGTGTTTTCTAAAAGATTTTCTTGTTAGGCAAGTAAAATAAATGAAAGGGAAGTATTTTATTTATTTACTTATGAATTAATTAAGTTCCTAGATTTTATTATTAATAATATATGGTATATATTTATTATAGTATGTATTATGGAGTCCTAACCTTTAGGAGAAGGATTACATAATATATATCTTATACATTTACTTACCATACATGCCACTTGCATTAATGAGTTTGATTATATACCATAATTAGTTTTTTCTCTCTTGTAGTACAAGAAACAAGTGGCAAGGACTATGAAATGATGAGCTATCCACACAAGAAGAATTCTGGACGTTCTAGAGAAAATCTAAGAAGGATTTGGAAAGATTCACCGCAAGATCTTTGAGATTTGGAAGATCGATTATTTTAGAAAAGTCGTGTTCTTACACGAGTCTGGAAATACAAGATCTCCATTGGAAACTCAATTATGTAGATCTCCAAATCACATATACGAGTTCTACTTGAAGGAAACTTACTTTCAATGAAGGATTTCGTCCGAATCTGAAAGGAATCAAGTGAGAAGGAAATTGACTCCTAAAAAGAAAATGAGAAACTTGTGAAGACTCTTTACCTTAAGAAGATTGTATATATGTCTACTCAAACGATCAATTGAAGTGAGCTGCTGCAATAATCGAGTTCATCATTCATCAGATTCAATTGAGTGTTTGAGAGTTTTTTATCCTTTTTATTGTGTTCGTCTCAATAATTCAACGTTCTTACATTGCTGAAGAACTGAGTTCGTTTTGTTTGTCTTTTTCTACAAATACTTTGAGTGCTTAGGGATTAAGTACTTCTGTAGTTGAGAGGGACTCTTAGCTATAGTAAAGTCCACGTGTTTGTGGCCAGGGAAGTAGTTGATAAAATCAGGTATAGTGTTGGCTAGATTAGAAGGGAGTCCGAATCGAGTAAGCCCAAGTTGTACTTTGTGGGACGAAAAAATGAAAGAGCTTAGGAGTAGTGGGACGCTCCCTGAAGACATATATTTTTTTTATATCAATTCCGCAATTTATTTTTCTGTGTTGCAACACAATCTGCTAATGTGTTGCAACATCATACTGTGTACTTTATACTCCCCACGCTCGTTTCAGATATCATACTCTCATTTACTTTGTATATTAAATCATGAGTCATGGCATTTAAGTATAAAATTATATACACTAGTTAAAAAATAATATGACTATCTAATGATTAATCATGCTTAAAAACGATGTTTCTGATTTAAGTAAGATAATGTAGGGTAAAGGAGTTAACTCCCAATACCTTTTAAATAAAAAAAATACATTTAAATAATAAAATGTAGAATTTTTATGTAAAATAAGCATGCTATTTTTGTAAAAGAATTACATTATAAGTATATAGCAATTTATTAACAAATTAAATTCAGTTAACAATTAGAGATGATAACATTAATCCCAATATATACCAAATGCATTTGGAGATACGATCCATAGTTTTCATCAATTTACTAAAAGTCGGGTTGAGTGCCAAGACGCTAGACAGCAACCAGATGCCTCGATCTTTGTCCAGACAGTTAAGTGATAAGGTAAATAGGCACCGCCTAGGAGCGCTAGACAATTCGCTCTACGCGGCGACTTAAGCAGTGTAGGCGCCGCCTTGGTGCCGTAGAATTTCTTTGATATATTTTTTTATTTTCTTTTTTAAAATATATCATAAACAAATGTTAATTTATACATATGC